CTCCCCTGGGTCATTATTTATTTATTATCCTCATCTGAGGACTGTTTTTCCATTTATCGTTTAGAGAGAGTGAAGAGAGAAGGAAAGACATGGGAGGCGGAGAGACAGAGAGATACACATCAGTTGGTTGCCTCCTGCATACACCCCAACCTGGGCCTGGGATTCAGCCTGCAACTGAGGTACGTGCCCTTGACTGGAATTGAACTCGGGATCCTTCAATTCAAGGGCCAATGCTCTATCCACTGAGCCAAACCAGCTAGAGCTAAGTGCTATATGTGTTGTTTTTTTTTTAATCACTTATTTCATTAGACTAAAACCCTAATGAGAAATCAAAATGAGGGCTGGTCATACTGCAGTATGACAATATTAATAAGGGACACATTCTTCTCGGAGCACAGGAGAAGTGCAGCCCACGGCTGTTGGAGGCAATTAAGGAAGAAAAGCTTCACTGAAGAGTGACTTTTCAGCTGAGACTTGGGAGAAATTACTGAGTAGCCAAGTGTAGGAATAGACACCCGAAGAGAGCACAGTATGTGTCCACAGAGATGTGAGGGAATGCAGGTGTTTTCAGGAAAGCATAAGGATCACCAGAGCTATATAGATTAGGCTTGATGGTGCAAAATGAGCAGAAATGAGATGATGGATGTTGAGTGCCATGCAAAGAATTAAAATCCAGTCTTGTAAAATTTCCACCCAAACGACACAATTGGATTTTTTTAAATGATCTTTCTGTTAGTGGTGCAGAGGGTGGATCGGAGGAGAGTGAGGCTAGAGGCAGGAAATGCGGAAAAGGTTATTGCAGTAAAATGGGGCTGAGGCATGAGGGCCTAAACCAGAACAGCAGCTACAGAAATGGAGAGATAGGCACCAATACAAGAGAAATTGAAAAGGCAAAGTTGGAGGGTGGGCTTGCTGAGTAATTACATATGACGCATGAAGGAAAAACAGAACGTAAAGCAAATGAGCTATTTTATTTTCATTTTTCTTCTCTTTCCTATGAATGTAAAGGGTTATGATATTTATGGGTTTTAATGGAATTTATCAGAAGTAATTAAAATAGTTTTAAATATCACAATGCTTTTGGAGAAAAAGGTATTACTTAAGTGTCTGATATTAAGTGATATTAAGTAAGATTTGTATTTTCTCTCATTCCTTAAACTCAGCCACAAGTATAAAGAAATGGAGTCATGCTTTCGGTGTAGATTCTCATTACTGCTATTTATACCTTTCAAAGTGCACATGATTATTAGATGAGAAAGGGGATAAGATGTGGAAATGAAAAATATAGACATGAAAGCCTGATATCTGCCAGTTAAGCTGCCTCTTTTATTTTATAAAATCACTAGGCAAAGCAGTTCATCCCTCAGGGATGAAGGCAGATGTCACACATACAAAACAGTTTGAGGTAAATATAATCAATACTTTTTGGGATTCTGAGAAATTATAGTCACATGTGCCATTGATGAGAAATAAAATGCAGAGTAAGAATTGTAAATATTAAGTATTTATTATACCTCACACTTTTTTCACTCACTGACTGGCAAGAGTGCGTGGCTCTGCTACCTTTATAGAATAATTTCCTTTGTCTTTCAACATTTTATATGTAAACTAGGGGGCCAGTGCATGAATTCGTGCACCTTGAAAGGAACTGTGGGCTGTGAGGCTGCTGTGGGCACAGGAGCAGTCTTGGCCCATCCTCCACACCCCTGCTCAGCCCCTCCCACTGTGGCCCCCAGTTCCCTGTCTGCCAGCAGCTCTGCTACTGCCACCGCCACTCCCATGCGCTGACTGTGCCAGCCCCGCTTGCACCTGCTGACTGCGTGGAGTGATTGGGGCTGGCGCCAGCAGGGGGTGCAAGTGGGGCCGGGCTGTCAATGGGTGCAAGCAGAGGCTGCTGCCCAGATCACCCCTCATGAGCAAAGGGACATGGAGAAGCCCTCAGGGGTGATCGGGACCAGCACCGGGCGCTGGCAGCGGGTGTGAGTGGGAGCTCTGGCACCGTCAGCAGGTGTGAGCAGGGCCGTTGCTGGCAGCAGTTGAGAGAGGTGGCTTCCAGCCCTGATCACCCCTCAGGAGCATGGGGAGGTGGAGAAGCTGACACCCACTATGTTCTGTGTGCACCCCCTGGTGGTCAGCACATGTCATAGAGACTAGTTGTTCGGTTGTTCCACTGTTTGGTCTGTTTGTCTATTAGCCTTTTATTATGTAGGATAAAATAAATATTAAAAACAAATAAAAAGGAAAGATGTCCTATTCAACATTTTATATGTAAATAAAATAAATATTAAAAAAAACAAAGGGAAAGATGTTTCATTCAAAGGTTGGAAATGCTGGTTTAAACCATTACATGGGTCATTTATTGTAAAATTTAAAGGAGTTTTTACTACTTCAATGAGTTATGAAATGTCAAGAGAGAGATACAGGGTATTGTATTTTCAGTGGAGCACAGGTAAGCTGTATCTAGTAAGCTTCAAAAGACTGGGGCAAAACTATGAGAAGGTAAAGCAGTAAGACAAAACGTGAATGTTCATTTTATTCATTTGCTTTTCATGTGTTTGTGTGCAGGGTAGGATTGCCAGATGGAAAAGTACCCCAAAAAGAGTACTACTTAGAAGAAGTGTCTGAGGACAGCAAAGCCCTGGGTCCTCCTGTCTCAGGCAAGTTGAAAGGCAGGGATAAGACATCAGCTCAAATAGAAATCTACAATTGAAATTGGGGATTCACACCTTGCAGTGTCTTATATAAAATACATCAACCCATTTGCCAAATGCATTCAGGCTTGCCCCAGCCCGGATTTGTCACTGAACATTAAAACATGAGTGGCAAGTTACAGGATTGTTGTTTCTTTCTCCTGCTTAATATCACTATATAATCTATCATTAAGCATTTCACAAGTCACATGGCAACTTTCAAGTCATTTGCAATTTAATTGACCAGAAATAAGTGTCCAGACCAGTAAGAATAAGGAAACTACTGCTGAAAAGCACTGGAGACCTGGCTGGCATGGCTCAGTCATTGAGGGTTAACCTGTGGGGCCAGAGGCCCAGGTTATGGGCTCTATCCCCAGTGTGGGACATGCAGGAGGCAGCCAATCAATGATTCTTTCTCATCATTAATGTTTCTATCTCTCTCCCTCTCCCTCCCTCTCTGAAATCAACAAAAATATATTATTTTTTTAAAAAGCATTGGAGACAAGAGACAGAGAAGCCTCAATAGAAATATCCACTTCATTACTTGTCTTCTAAACTGACATCCACTTTTGCATAATGAAAATTTATGGTAACAAGAAATTTTATCACTTCTCACCTTCTGGGAGTTTCAGAGACAACTCTTACACACACACACACACACACACACACAACACAAACAAACACACACACACAAACACTGGAGTTTCTCCCCAAAATAGCCACATTCTTTTATTTGGTGATTCAATACATTTTTAATTCAAATAGCCACCACATAACCTAGGCACAATATTAAGCATTTACAAGCCAAGTATTTTACTGATTTCCTTTTCAATTGCCAGAGAGTACAATATGTGAATTGGTTAAGGGATATACTTCTGTACATTAAAATATCCATGTATTTATACAAGCGTGTGGAACAGAGTTTCAAGAGAATAAAACCAGAACATCGCAATAAATAGGATGTGTTCCTACAGGACAGCAGAGCTTTGCAGGAAGCCATCGAGTCTCTTTTTTCAAGGTGCTTCGTGTTCTTCTGAGCTAGGCTCGCGCTTCCCACAATAAGGGTTCGGGGTTAGTAATGATGGATCCGATTTCTATTTCCCTATGTCCCTATGTCACTTTTTATTTGCATCTCCAATAACAGGAGCAGAGGATATGATCACTTACGTATTTCAAAAGTGTTCACAATTTACCAAATTCTATTTATTTCCCATTTCAATATTTTAAAATGCAAATTAATCTAAGCTCTAGCACCGTCTAAGAGTGAAATACATGTATTTTTGTCAGAGCAACAATATTTCATATCATCTTTGTCCCTCTGGCTATAACAATTCCGTTTAGAAAAATTTACCAAGCTAAAAATAGTTGATCTAGGTTGTCATAAAAAAAGGAATATTAAATACCTTTGGTAAAAATAGATATATTTAACAAGATTAGAAAAGCAAACCGTTATAATGTCAAAAGGAGAATATAAAAATGTACACAATAAAACAAATAAACCAACTTATAGATAAAGTGAAGGTAAGGCCACTCTTCTTTTCAGGTTTGTCTCTTCCACACCAGGAAATGTAGTTCGTGTCTTCTAAATGATAGAAATATTTTATAAGAAATATGGAAAATCCAGTCTTTCTTATCAACAGGACATAAGTTTGATTTATAGCAACATAGTTCCTTTTTCCCCAAAAACCAAGGTTGTAGGCCATAGAACACTCTGGTTTATACATGTGACTATAAGGGAAAAATTCTTAGATTTCTGTGATTTTTAGGCCCAGAATATGGAGCTTGAGAGTTAATAAGCAAGGCAATAGAATCAGGTGCCCATCTGCACTCATTTCCTTCCTGTACTGACATTAACTAAGTCATATCAAGACAACTGAAACAGAACACAGCCAGCTGAGTAAGTGCATGGTAACTCTGTAACTAGCTAGTGATCTACAACATTTAATATTTTTTCCATGCCCGGAGACCTTTTCCCGGTCATTGGGGCCTCCTCTCAAGAGAGCTGTTGCACAACTCCTAATTCCGGTTGGTGTCTCCTCTTTCAGAACACACTGTAAATCCTGAAGGCTGAAAGGTCCCTGAAGCAAACAACTGAGATTATGGATGGCGGTAACGCATCAGTTCTATAACAGAGCCAGCCGCTGCGCTGCACTGCCGGGCGAAGGCGGCATGTGGCGATGCGTTATCCTCCGGCGTTCCCTCTGCACACACAGTCACACTCCTCATGGTGCTCCAGGGCCACGTCAGTGAGAGATTTATGCAATCCCCTGACACCAATCTTTGGTCTCAACTGAAGGACCTGAAGGGAACAATGTAAACGACCGTTAGAATCAATCAATATCTATCCTGTATGGGTTCACAGACAAGTAAAATTTCAGGAAAAAAAATGTATAGATCAACAAAGATCTATAGATTTTGTGCTTTTTCTTAGCAAAAGCATTACGAATATAACCCCCCACCCCTCAAAAAAATCATACATGATCAATTTTCATGAAAGCAAGAATATTTCAATACCAACAATTTGGAAGGGTGCTGCTTCAGAATAAAGAACAGTCCTTAAATTGAAAGAGTCACTATGCACACTTTATTTTACTCATTTCACAATACGGAGAAATTTCACCTTGGTGATGTATTTTGGAACCACTACGGCACGATTAATTTTTCTGTTTGTTAGTTTCGTTCAGTCATTCATTTGTTCGCACATTTAACAAATATTTATGCTTGAAGCAATACACACAAGTACTGCGGTACTGTGAAAAGAAACATGATCACTCTGCAGCTGAGTTTGCTCAATTATGCCACTCATTAATTTTCTTGGCTATACCTCAAGTCCTCTATAAACTTGATGAGATGGATTAGATGTACTTCAGAGGCATCAGCCTCCGTCACAGCTAACTTTCTGCAGCTGGGTCCTACCGTGCAGTATACGGAGATTTGGCGATGACAGTAATGGCTCTATTTAATGCAGTTACTTAGTTACTTCCAGTTTGGGTTGCTGGGATTTTTAATAAAATATATGGCAAAATAGACAATGATGCTAAACATAATTCTTTTCAACACAACAAAAGGACATAGCTTTCTATAATAATAATAAAAGCTTAGTAGGCTAATTAGACCAGACATCCTTCCAGATGAAGCTGGGGTGACGAGGGCCAAGCTCCTTGCATGAATTTCGTGCATGAGGCCTCTAGTGTATTTTAGAAAAGACTACCTGATGTACTTGAAAAGAATGACCTATTTAATGTGCATTACATTTTATTTCTTATAATAGAAGTGACACGTTTTTTAGAATTTATGTTTGAATTATAAACAAACCGTAGAGCACATAATAACATGAAGTTGTCTAGTTTCTCTACTCTCTGGGAATGACACAGATAACTTCATAGAGCAAATTCTAAAAGTTCCTGGACATTTTCATTAATCCAAAAAGGCACAAGTTAAGTCTTATGACTGTTCTTCTTGAAGATTAAAATAAGAAGAAAAAAAAAGAATGTATAACTCATTTGGAGAATGTGGTCATGCCGAAGGCTAATTAGCTAACATTTTTTGAATGCTTATGAGTGCTAGCCACTATAATAAGAATTTTACAGACTTTAACTCACAAGAATTCTATGAAGTAATTTATAACTATTCCCCCTATTTTACACATGAGTGAACAGAAGCTTAGAGAGAATAAGTGGCATAGCCAGTATTTGTACTTCGGCCAAATATGAATTATTAGAGCAATAGATAATAATTTTATGAAGACTCAGAATATACCTAGTCATGCATTCTATTTATTTAGTAACTTTCTTTGCAGAAAGATAAACTGCAAGTCTTAAAATAACTATGGGAAATAGTCAACTTCTAAATTAGATTTTTATTACATTTCATAATGCTAGAATAAAAATGACTAAAAATGTACTATTTTAATGTGGTTAGGAAGACAGATAAATTGCAATATTGGCATAGCCAATGTCTTTAATTCCTATCTCCACGCGTATACATTTTCCCAGTTGGCAAGGGAAAAATTACTATGAAAGGGAAAGGTAATGAAGGCCACCATATGCCATCCTAACTGGCAGTGATGCTAAGCTGCAACCTTACAACCCTTCCACCCCCTAGCAGTGCTTATGTCAAGATGCATTCACCAAACAAAGCCCCTTCTCACACACACACACCCAGTCTTCATCCCTGGATGTTTGTGGAGATCAGATAGAAGAATATTCTCTTTATGTCCTAGTGATGCTGAAGTCTTGCATAAGAAATTCCTACACAAGGTGGTGGGACCAGACTTATTGTTTTCTTTCTCAGTTCTGTTTGAAAGTTCTAACTTGTGAAGAGAAAGTTAGACTTGGACCATGACCAGCAGGTCCCAGATAATATGAAAGATGATCACTGGATTTTCAGGACATAGTTTAGGACACCAGAAGAAAAAAAAACAGGCAGAAGAATATCTCACAAAATTTTGAGGGAGCAGTTCAAACTCTAAATGCAAGCACATGAACAAATAATCCAGGGTAAAGCTAAAACCAGTGGGAAGGAAAAGATTCGGTACAGAGGGAACCATCAAGGAATAGAGGCACAGGTACCATTGCCCAAAGTAGGCAAAGTGCCCTTACATTTTGGGGTGTCACAGAACCTTGGAGGATGGGACTCATTACTAGAATAAGTCAATTGAATGGTATATTTCCCTCCCAAATAAATAGATCTAAGCATAAAAAAAAACTATTCTTTAAATTATGAAAAATGAAATTAGATATATGAAGATATAAACAAAGTAAGATAATACTGGTATAGTAGAGATGGTAAAGCTGGTATAGTAGAGATGAAGGAAAGAAAACTTAGAACTTTTAAGCTCTGTTTTTGCTTCTGCCTTCCCCATGAGGTGGAAAAACCTTCAAAGTGTAAATGAGAACAATGCTCATCAAAAAGAATGAAAGCCCAAGTATTATAAAATATTAATAATATTTTAAGTTATATATAAAAAATAATTCCATTATTCAGAAGTAGTATTAGACTCAGAACTTATTTCCAAAATATAAAACCAAGAAAAATTCAGGGCTCAGGAATGATGAATTACATCAAATGAACCCCCCACTTTTTTCATAGAGTAATTTGATCCTTTATAAAAAAGATGATCACAGAAAAATTAATGATAAAAAAGTAAGACAAGGTTATTACTGGAGCTATTTATGAGAAATTTGAAGCAGGTGACAAGGCAATTCTATTGCTATACATACACACTTTAGGGATGTGGGAAACTTACACTCGATGGTCATGTAATTACCCAGTGGTTCTCAACCTTCTGGCCCTTTAAATACAGTTCCTCATGTTGTGACCCAACCATAAAATTATTTTCGTTGCTACTTCATAACTGAAATGTTGCTACTGTTATGAATCATAATGTAAATATCTGATATGGAGGATGGTCTTAGGTGACCCCTGTGAAAGCGTTGTTCGACCGCCAAAGGGGTCGTGACCCACAGGTTGAGAACCGCTGCATTCACCCATAAAGATATACGTGTGCCTATATATATAATGCATATGCAAGCAACCCCACCCAAAGACTAGTGCGTAATGGATCATTGCCATTCTGGAAGGCCAGTGATGCTATAAGCAGTGTCCACAGCCTTTCCCCACACAAGTTTTATCTGAGACTTTAAAACAGATATTACAAACTCTTTGGCAACTTCCTGCATAACCCCACAACTAATGTTATTTGAAAATAAATTTAAAAGTATAGCATGGAAGAGGATATGCTTCATGGAGGACTGATTTATTTGACCAAAAGCATTGCATGGAACCAGCATCTGAGAGGCTGGTTTGAGAAGGTTAAAATAGCTGGTCTGGATTTTATATCTCTTAGAATGGTGTCATATACCCAAGATTTGTTGGCTAAATCAGGTCTCCAAATGCACTTTGTTTAGTAAAAACTTGCTTTAGAATAATTCAAAATCAAATGACCTTAGGTGGGAAAAGATCACTCAAGTTTAATTCCTATTCTCATCACATCCTTTTATGTTAGGCCATTCAACTCTAGTATCAGCCTGGCCTGTAAGGTATTTTAAGTTTAATTTGCTTAAGAACTACTATATGGAGGGTTTCTTCTTTGTTAGATACCCCAGTTCATGGAGCAGCAATCAGGCTGGCCTCTGGGCATAGCCTGTCTGGGGCTTCTTGAGCCACCATGCTCATAACTGTCTACTTCCTGTAACTGGAGCGGAGACTGTTCCCGGCACTAGGCGCATTAGAAGCATGCAGTGTAGAAATAAAAGTAGGACATGAGTAATGGCAGAAAATTGTCCTATTTTTAATCATAGGCTTCTAGTTTGGGATGTTTTCTTTTAAAAATTGCATTCTAGTAATTGCGCTGGAATAACATAGCTAGGAAAAAAACAGATAATTTTCACATCTTACACTGTTTCATTGAAGCTCAGTACCCTGCTGATGGTTACAAGTTAAAGATAGATCTAGGATGGAAACAGGGTCCATTGTCTTCTGGAATCCAGTGCTTCCTCCCCGCTCACTTTCCCAGCTGCCAACACAATGTTGTTGAAGGGTAGGACAACCATGTCATATGCAGTATAACTTATGACATTGTCCATGTTTAGATTACCTAACAGATAAGGGTTACATTGATATCTTTATGCAAGTCAAAAAAGTCACTTTACTTCTTAATCCGATATTTACTTTTGAAGATTCTTTTATTTAGTAGAAAAAATAAAAAACTACTGAAATGAAGCTATATTGAAATTAAGTCAAAAAGACTGATTTTGGCTTGGTGTAATGTAAAGGTTTTGTAAAAATCAAAGTTGACTCATCAAGAAGGAATTGCTTCCTAATGTATGAATGCTACACGATGCTCTTGGAGAGAGAGAGTGGGATAGAATTTGGGATATTCTAGCATCATGGAGAATTTGGAGTGTATCAGTTCTAAGGTTCCCAAGGCTCTGAAAAACAATAATTGCTAAGTTTCAATATTGGGGTCTTCTTGATTCTGTAAAAAGATAAAAGGGTGAAGCTTCCATAACATGCTCTTTGGAGCAATGTGAATAATAGGAAGATGGATATAATTATGAATGTGTCTTCTTGGGATATAGGTGCCTACACTGCCTCAAATGGAAAAATAAATATCAAAGATCTTCTCTCTCCAAAGTAGACAATGACTCATCTCCAAGTTTCTCTTTAAAATATTTCCCTTCAGCTTTTGAAAAGTTTCACCCATATTTTACCATATAAAAGAACACATTTTGTTTTTTGTATGAGAGAGGAAAATTTCACTGACCACCTACGGTGTACTATCAGAGGATAAGCTTTCAAAATATTTAATGTCTGGTTATTTGAGTTAAAGGTCCTATTTTTAAAAATGAGAACATAAAGTGTATTTGTGGGTGTGTGTTTTTAATGAATGCTACATCCTTCCAAACAAAAATTCATTTCAGATACACTGTTTTGTTATTTTTAAAGCAACAAAATACCCAAAGGAACCCCAAAATAAAATGATATACCTACCTCATGGTATTTTTTAGTCACTTTGCTTGGGACACATTGACACTCATTGCAATTGTGGAGACAACAGGCACAGTTTCCACCACAGCGCTTAACCAGGAGACAACCTGGCCAGAAAATAGTATCGGTTCTCTTTAGTTCTTCCCTTATGGACACTGAGAAGTTACGAGGTGTGCAGCTGTACAACCTTACCTCCTCTTTTAGAAGGTTCAGATCCACCACTGCATGGCATAAAGGAAAGAAAAAAAATAGATGTTCATGCTCTGGACTTGAATACATTCCATTAAACTCTTTTCATAAAGAAATCAAACTATGTCATGAACAATAATCCTGACAATATCCCTCCCTATTGTAGCTATGTTTGGGAGCTGTGCAGCTTGCAAGTTGGACTTTCTATTTTATAGTAAACAAAGCTTCATTATGATTTAGTGTCCAATAAAGAGATGCCATTGTGCAATGTTAAGAACAGAGCCAACAAAACAGTTGAGAGCTATAAATAGGAACTACAGAGGAAAAAGAGGGCTACACCTTTTAACCTTAGTAAAAAAGTAAACAAGGAGACTATTGGAGGGAAGAATAGATTGCCAAATAATGAATACTTTGATTAAAAAGTAAATGCAAGTTTTAAAAAGATTACAAGCTCATGCCATCAATGAAGAACAACATACAGAAACTTGTCGAAAAAACTTCCTTATAATCTTTCTGGCAATAAGAATCATAAAATGTTAAAAGAAAATGAAGAAAGTGAAATTTTGAAGATGGCTGAGTGGAGTGTGAAGTGGAAAAAAGAAAGATACATTTTAAAAGAGCAGAGGTGGTTGGAAAGCACTGCTTCTGGTACATTGAGAATTTCTGGCCTTTGAAATTTAATTTAACTCAGATTTCTATTCTTCTTCTCAAGGATGGAAGAAATGTCTAATGTATAGCCATTGTCTCTATTCTTTTAACAAGTTGGATAGCTATGCTGTGCTTTATTCTTTAAAACAGTATCTATTTGTCAAGACCAAACAAAATATCCTTTGATCAATAGTAAATTCTCAAAGAACCATTGTTTTCAACCACAAAATTATGCTGCCTTAGTGAAATTATATCAAAATAATATGTAATGTTTAATATGAATTTATATCTAAGATATAAATAATAGTCAATTATGATAAGCATATGTAATATAATTTTAATTTCTGCTTTAAAACTTTGACTTTTTTCTCTTTAAAGATATTCAAATAAAAAAATTCCAATAAAATTGAAGGGTTTTGGATAACATATAATTGATCAGAGCTTTTTTCCATCAATACAATTAATGGTTTATTAAACTTTAGGAAAAATTATCTAAAATGTGATAAATCTAGTTAAATACCTTTTGCTAATATTGGAAACATTATAAACAAGAATTGAGGGACAAGAAAAAATATTCTCTGGTTTAAAGATTGCTTCAAATAATCATGAGTATGTAATCCCATTTTAAAAATTAAGTCCAATATTTTAAAATAACAAGGTAACCATGAATCAAATGCTTATTTTCTTGGCTATGTTATATTGTATATGTGATCAAATTTTTCTAAATGTCAAGGGCGTTCATGTGTTTTCCAGAGATGTTTTATAAGTTATGCATATGCAATCATAAATGTAAACATATATAAACTATTTGGTTGACTAAAATCTTAGTCACAGTTAGGAGAACACCAAGAAATGCGAATTCAATAGGTTAATTTCAACATCTTATTCAGTTAAAAATTATCTTTTCCATCTCAATAGAAAAATCACAGTTTTATTTGAGCATGCAAAGATTTCCTTTTCATATGAAAAATGATCCTGTGAAAATAAAGCTTTTGAATATTTAAGGGGAAATGAGTTCATTTTTTGAGTGCTATAAAAGACCAATTTATCTCTAATAAAATTAATGAGATAACCAGGTTAAGTGATGTCACCTGATTTTACCTGATTTCATTTTGATGCAATAATAGCACATGCACATACTGCTCTTTATTGTTAAAGCTACATACGAGCTTCTTTGGATATTTTCTCTAGACGTTACTATCTGATTAAGAAAGGGAGAAAACCTAAAACATGCATGCACATACAGAAGCCAGCTGCCAACATTTGTGACGCTTATTTAAGATTTATGCTTCTTTAGAATGCGAATGAAGCTCTTAGCTTTGAAAGGATATTCATCTACCTCAAATACTTTTAAACACACTATTTCATGAAACTAGAAAATGAGACTGTATATGTTCACTTTAAAATGTTTACTTAACCACAATAAAAGGTTAGATAGATTTCCCAAGTGAACTAAGTTATGATACCTGCTACAATGTGAAAATTTAAACACACTTTCAACTTAGCTTCCACTCATTTATCATGTTTGACACAAAAGTCAAAAGCCCTTTTTAAGTACTAGTTAAGCCTGACTTAGAAAATATGCTTTTTTTTTCTTTTTTTCTGTAGTAGCATGGTATGAATGAGAACCCTGAACCAGAAGAAGAAAGGGAAAATAATGAAAGAGAAAAACATTAGTGCTGTCCACTCTGGGCTAAAAATACAAGAAGGATTTTAAATTTGGTCATCATATCTGAAAATTATGCTTGTTATTTCTAAGGCTTCAAACCCACCTAAGCTTCATTAAAGTAAGTCCTGTTTTTATAAATTAGGATCACAAATTCTTTAAACATTGTGCAGAATTTCTAGGCAAAGTAATAATAATAATAATAATAATAATAATAATAAAAGGAAAAAGATATAGGGAGAGAAAAATCAAGCCCCAACACATACTTAAAACACACACACACACACAAAAAAAATCACTTAACTATAATATTATGGAACTTTCCCTCCCTCTGCAAAATATTTGTAAAGTAAAACTCAGCATTGAAATTTCTTATTTCCTTTTCAAAATTACCACCTAAGACAATATATTCATTAATTTGTCTTTCTGAAGAATGAATATTTTGAGCTCAATGACACCAGTGAAAGTTATTTCTAATGCAAATTTTCTTGTTTAGATTCATCAATATTGCAAGTTTTAATAAAAAAAGGTAATGCTTGACTGAAAAAAACACACACCATGCTCATATTTTATTTTGTTTGTTGTTCATTCTTTTGAGATATTCAGCCCAAGAATATTCTATTACTGTAATGCAATCTGAGGGTGGTCTTTCTAAGATGAATGTGGTAACATGGTGATATGTTTATTCTGTGGAAAATCTATTTCAATGTCTAATTAGAAGCTTTTAAACGTTTGACTCCTCATTCCTTTGTAGAAAGACTCTTGGGAGGGAAGTTGGGTTTGTCTATATAGATGTTATCCCACACCTGCATTTTAGTTTATGTAAAGTTCCAAAAATATACACTGCTTTTCTCGCACTTACTGTATACTTAAAAAGTTAATAGTTTTGGCAAACAGCAAAGGGCTTCAATTTGGAAAGTGCTAAATGAATATTTGAAAGATCTGGTTCAGTGCTGGATGCTTTTAAAACTATCTGCTAGCTGCTGGCCAAATCATTGATCACCAAGTGCAGAGGTACAGGCATAAAGGCGTATGACTAGAAGGAAGATTTTTAAGCTCGAATCCCGAGATCAGCCATCAGAAACCAGGTCTGAGCTTAGAACCTGGTTTACTTCCACTGCTCTTTACAGATCAGCATGATCATCTACTTCCAGTTTGCTAACAAAGGCTCTATTCATGGCTGTTTCAGCCAGCCTCACAGGTCTTCATTTTCCTGTTCTGAAGTGGGAGGGAAGGGAAGTATTGTTCGTAAGTTATTCATCAAGTTATTCATCAAGATCAAATCTTATAAATATGTAACAGCTTTCAGCATCTGGACAAGATTCGGCTGCCCATGGACTTGAACGCCGCTTTCAAATCTCGCTGAAAGGAAACCATGTCTGTTGGCATAGCAAACGACCATGGTTGGGCAAGTCTGAACGTGACCTGCTGAGATGAAAGCTCCTCGCCCAGAAGGGCTGCAACCCTTAGCAGGAAAGGGCCGGAAGCGGGCTTCTCTCTGACAAGATTGAGAAGAACAAGTCTGGTGCAGTCTGGCCCTGTGAATCACTCAAATTAACTAAACATTGCTCCCTCTGCATACATTTTACAGTGTCAACCTATTCTCCAAAGTGACATGGGGCAGATTTCAATGTTTCTGACAGACTTCAACAGATGTTTTTGGGTATATTACAATTATTCAGTTATTGATATTACATGTTCATTTGTGTCTGATATGAAAGCTTTCGGATTCTAATGGTACTAGGAAATTAGCTAACCTTAGAGCAAACTCAGTTAATATTAGTTTCAATTTCTTGACCATGTGGAATCAAGTGTAGTGATCAATACCTTCACTCTTGAAGAGAGATATGCTCTTATGTTCAAAAGTGATCATTTCAAAAGTAAATTTAGAGAGAAGTTATCATAGTGTGGGTTCCATCCTACTATGCTTTCTCTCTTGGGAACGGCTAGTTCTATTTTATGGTGAGCCATTGTTATTTTTCATATTATTTGGAAATAGAAATTGATACAATCCTGACCCTCCCGGACAGGTTAGATAATGAATTCGATAGAGCTTTCCCTTTTCCAGCTCCGAACCTGATTCTTTAGCAGTATGATGATCTCTCTTGAATCTCTAAATCAATATGCCCCATATATTAGGTTTGAATAAGCACTGATTCTTGTAAAATATAATAGAAGACCATCAAAATGATATTTTTGAATTAAAAAAATGACAAGAATATTGAGCAAAAGAATCCATTTATATCTTCCAAATTCACTGTGATAATGAAGTGCCCTCTTTTATATGTGTTCTTATTTGATATGCAAGTATATTCAAATGTTATAAACATGGATTATTTAAATATATCACTGAAGCATTTTCAACTCGACTCACTAGAAGCTATGACAGAAGAATCCAAAACATGAGCTGCTAAGGAAATGAGATTCTAATCTGAAGAGAGAGCTTACCTCTGGATTTTCTTCCAAAAACAAAAGCCTTGCCAAGAAGTTGCCAACCTGGCCTATATAGATCTTCTAAGTCCAACTGCCATCTGTCTGGTTCAAGATAGCGAATAAGGTCTTCCAAGGTGCTGAAGGCAGTGACCGCGTTATTGAGCTGGTCCAGCGGCAAAGCTGAAGGGGGCAGCACTGAGGGGCTCACAGCTTCTGTGACTTGCTGAAAGTAAAAGCAATCCTCTGTTAACCATTTAGAGAAGGCAATGCATTCCTTCTGGACTTGGGCAAGAAGTTCGGCACACTAAGGCTGTACACACACGGGAAATCAAATCGCAGTCAATTCCAGTTAGAAGTCGTGACTTTGCAAGACTTCATGTAGATGGACCCCCGTAGATTTGCTGTGTAGTCAATGAGAAAGACATTAATTTCATTACCCCAAACCTCAGGGGGTGTGGCTACCTGTTGCTTAAATAAAAACAAACAGTTCTCCAGGGTTCAATTACAGACTTAAAATGGAAACTCTAATAAATACAGTTCACCCGATTTATGGTTGTTTTATACCTTTCACTTTCCTTAATCTGGAAAATGTCTATGTAGTTATGCAAATGAGTGTCAGATGAATTAAAAATGTGCAGTAATTAACTTATAAAGAATGACAACAAAAGGCAGGCGAAAGGCTTTTGACTTTGGAGAAAGTGTTAACCACGATAGTTATAACCCACACTTTATAACTTTGATAAATTTGCCTAAAATTGTTTTTAATTTTTAATAAACAGGTTTAAAAGACAGATACTGGAAGAATACCTTGGCAAGTGATATAGCTTTCACAGGATTAGTATCCAGAGTATACCAAAAAAAAAAAAAAAAAAAAAAAAAAAAAAAAAAAAAAAAAAAAAGACAAAGACTGTAACTAAATACAAAATGGGCAAATTCCAGACCAGAAGTTTGAATGGCCAACAGACATAAAACATGCTAAACTTCATCAGTTTTCAGAAAAATGCAAAACAAAATAAGATACTATTTCACATCCATCAGATTTGCAGGCATTTAAAAGCAAGGGCTGCCAAGGATGTGGGTAAGTTGGAATTTCTCTGTGCTGCCCGCAGAAGTGAGCGTAAATTGCTTTAGTTTACATAAGTTACTAGAGTTGAAGATTTATATGTCCTCAACCCCTGTAATTCACTGTTAAGGTTTATACCCTTTTATTTGTGCACATGAAAATATGTGCAAGGATATTCATCACACACACATTGTTTAAAATAGAGAAAAGCTGAAAAGAACCTAAATGCCCATATATAGAACAATGGATCAAAATACTTCATTTTAAATGGCAAGCAATAAAATAAGACAGTAATTTCAATAAATCTTCAATAAGGACTCCTCCCCCACAATTGTTAACATGCACTAAAGGTAGGACATGTTATCAGAACTGAACTCAAAATAGGCAAAATAAATAAATGAACAAAATGCTCAACTTAGTTTTTGGATTATTTTGTAATTTAATTTTTTGTAGCAAAGGGGAGAGGAGTATGAAATAAACATTTATGTGGATTGATGTTCATTATAGTAGTATTAATAATAATAACAAAAAGTTGAAAACATTCTGAATTTATATTTGTTGGGATAGTTAATTACACTAGTGAAATGAAATCGTGTATAGACATTAAAAATGAGGTTCTCTGAGAATTTTTATTAACAAAAGAAATGCCTACTAAGTAGTAATGACAAAAATAACAAGCTATATAAAAATAGTGTTCATATGCCATAATGTCAACATACATAAATTGAAACAAAATAAAAAATCAACAGTGCCTAAAATGCTGTGTTCATCTATGATTTAAAAGAGAAGGGTGATTTTAATTTTCTTTCGTGTACATATCCAAATTTTCAACATTTTCTATAATAAATATGGATTCCTTTCAGAGATCAGGTTATAATAAAAAACAACTATGAAGTCAGCTTTTCCTTTCATCCTCATTAGATCCTTGGCTAGATAAGGAAAACCATGTACTGTATATAGCATCTTCTAACTTGTCTCCTTGCCTTTAATCTTTCCTTATTCCTTCTATTCAATGCTGTATAACCTTGGGTTAATCTACCTAAAGTAAGTTATCACTGATCATGTGATGCATCTGGACAAATGCCTAGGGTGATTTCTCATCTGGGGGATGAGATCCAAATTCCTTACACTGTACTCAGGCTCCTTACGATCAGACCTTTGCTGACCTTTCCCATCTAATCCTCTGCTCATCAAAGACACGCACATTTTGTTCCAATCAATCCTGTCTCTTCACTAACTACTGCAGATGTCTCATTCATCTCAGACCTTGTACTTCCACCCATGATAAACGCTGCTCCCCTTCTCCCATATGCAAAACCCTTCTCCCTGTGATCCACCTAATAAATCTTTACCATTTATAATGGCCTTCCTTGAAACCCAATTTATCCATAAAAACTTCTTCAATAACAGGGCCATCATTGTCCCATATATCTCAATTGTATCAGCTTGATAAAGATTCCCTCTCTGGGCTGTCCTCTGGGCACATGGCTTGAAAAACAGAAGCGACTCCACAACTTCGAAAAAGGATGATTGCTCTCTTGGGGCAGGTCCAGCTCCTGTGGGGGTTTGTGGGTATAGAGTCCTATTTGCACACAGAGGGTGGGAGGGTGGAATTTTATAAAAAACAAGAGGCATGAAATTAGTCTATGGGGGTTTGGGGGGGAAGGGTCCCCTCAGCTCGGCCTGCACCCTCGTTAATCCAGGTCCACTTGGGGGATTTCCGACTGCCGGTTTAGGCCCGACTGCCGGTTTAGGATCGGGCCTAAACCGACAGTTGGACATCCCTCTCACAGTCTTGGACTGCTGGCTCCTAACTGCTCACTTGCCTGTCTGCCTGATCACCCTTAACTGCCCCCTCTGCCAGCCTGGTCACCCTTAGCCGCATCTGCCTGCCTGCCTGATCACCCCAATGCCCACCCCTGTGGGCTTGGTTGCCCCTAAATGCCCCTTCTGCTGGTCTGGTCACTCCATGCAGCCTGCTGCTCGGTCGTTTGGTTGCCCCTCACTAACCCCCTGCCAGCCGGGTCACCCCACACAGCCTGCTGCTCAGTCGTTTGGTCACACTGCACTAACCCCCCTGCCGGCCTGGTCACCCCATGCAGCCTATTCGTTCATCTGTTCGGTTGTGATGATCACTTAGGTTTTATATAGATAGATAATCAGCTGAAATGAATGTGGCACCCTTAGATCAGCAATGATTTTATTCTTATTTTAAAGATTTATTTTCAATAATGTCAAGAATCTGGCTAAAATATTAGTACAAAGATGGTCCCAACTATTCTACCTAACTTTTGAGAATGGAAACCAAATTTAATACATTCCCTATTTACTCCAGGTATTTTTAAAATTGTCCAAAAAATTCAAAAGTTCTTTAACAGAGAGTACGATTATGACTGGTAATTAAATTATAGGCATAAATAAATATCCAATAAAAAGTTCCATTGTTAATTTAACCAATTTGGTTAATATTAAACTTCTAGCATGAAAAAGTTAATGCAAACGTTTTGCAAATTTAAAAACATAAGTCAAGATGTATATGTTTATGTAATGTGTAAATTCAAGTTCAGTAATACTCTAAGAATAACTGAGTATTACTCATGACTATGACAATATAAAACAAATTAAATGTGTCATAATCTGTACGGAGAGTAAATGTATGGAAAACTAATACAAAAAGTGTATATTATTCATTAAAAATGTCAGAGTGGACAGTTAGACATGATATAAAATGATTACTTAAGCTATTTTCAGTTAGACCATGATCCAAGAATGAGTTGGTTCATTTTGCTTTCTTCATCTGTTGGACACTCCGTATAGAGCATTCCTTTTGAAGCAGTAAAAAGTTCCCACTGAAGTCAATATTGCTGAGACAAAGGTTAAAGTATTTATACAAAAGAAACCAAAACAATATAAGCCTGCAATGTTGGATGAGCAAAATATACACACGCAGGGTTCAATGAAGTATCAGAACAGCAATCCCTTCACATGACAAAAGTAGGGAGGGAACGACTTGGTATATGATACTACATTCATATATTGGTTGAAATATTTACATTAAAATAAGATCAATTTCAAAAATAAACACACACACAGCAGTTTGCACCCACCCAAAAAAACAGGAGGGGAAAATCAACTCACTTCCCCTAGATTCAACCAATCAACTCCAGGGCAGAACAGAGGAAGCTGTGCTTTTATTTAAGGGCTTTCTCATGACTGCACCCCACCCACTATTTCAAGGAACAACGAAAGTCCTTCACTTTCCAAGTTCTGCTTTTCTAGGTTGCCTAAAGGGATTTCCAGAGAAAAGGGAGCAATGGAAAAAAGAAGTGAGAGGCAAAAAAGTCCTCTTTTTTTAAGTTTTAATTTTTCCTATAAGCAGAAACTCTTCTTTTCAGCACAGGCTCATAGAATTTTCTCCAGTAATTAGTGTCTAGAAAATTCGGGCAATACTTATGATTGGGCCAAATGCCTGGAATTGAATTTTTCACATTCCCCATTCCTTATCTCTTTTAGTCACCCTGAAAATAGAGACTTATTACTAAGTTATGGATTGTTCTAAGGCTATTTAGTAGGTGACACTGGTCAGTGATGAAAAGCAGAGTTTCTTGGTGTTCCGTAATGCAAACAACTAAACCAACACCCCCACTTTAGTAAGCCAGAACAAAGACTTTCTGCGGTTACCTGCACGGTAGCAACGATGACCTGCGTGGACCACCTAGTTCTAGGCTACTGAGACCCCTGCAGCACAGTATTTGAAAGGATAGATTGTGAAAGTTGAGAAAAAGAATCTGAAATCTCAGTGCAATGAAGTGCCCTGTCAAACCGTGCAATTCTAGCAGGTCAGTACCATGTGCTAAAGATATTACACAAAATGAGGTTTTTTTAAAAAATTCCTTGGTGAAATTCATTATGAATGACAGCATGATATGAGAGAAGAACTCTGATCAGGAGTCAAGGAGCCTGGACTGTAATCTTGGAGCTGCTCGCATTTCGGAAAGAGAATTTGGGCAAACACTGTAACCGCTCTGAGCCTCCGTTTCCTCCTACCAATCTTGGCTGCTAATTTTAGTGACTGTTAAGTTTCTTTATAGCTTTTAAATTTCATAATTTTATGTAAATGCCAGATGGTCCATCTTCCCCACATCCTTCTCAACATTTGC